CCAGTGGTGCGGGTTTTTACAACAAAATTTTTACAAGTATACAAGGCAGAAGTCTACATCCAGCTCTTGAATTTTGCTGTAACTGCTGCTGCTCAACTCTGTGGCAGGCCAGACGGGATGTTGGCATCAACTGAAAATTTTAATTTTTTTCTTTGTACAACTTTCAGGAGAAAAAAAGAAATTTGGAACACGAATTCTTCAAGAAATTGGAAGAAGGCATTTTTAGCATATCACACAAAAATCTGAAAACAATTACATGTAATCGGTGTGAAAGAATTGCTCTTTCGGAGTTGTTTTGGCCATCTGATTGGTTCCAACGCCAAAAATAGAAAAATGTCCATGCGAATCAACTGTGGCTACCAGCGTTCCATCTGGCGATACACAGAAATCGAAAATTGCCCCATATCCTGATCCTTCAATAGGATTCTGGTGCCGTTTCACCAGCGCACCCGTATGGACGTTCCAGATCTGAACGTATTTCATATTTAAAAATGCAATACTACTGCATTTCGCAATGCTAATGAAACTTTTTACTCCTCTAAAACCCCCAAAACTACGAAGCCTCCCTGGTCTCGTGCTGCAGAACGCAAGACACGGCTCATATGCATTATGTAGCCGGGGTAATTTTCTCCTTCCCTGACTTGCTTATATCCCGTTATTGCAGCCAAGTACGCTGATTACGTATCGTGTCTTCTCATAAAACTTAAAAGCGGTTTTCTATCCACCCATAAGAAGTCGACTAAGTAGAACATAAAGCTTCAGCAAAAGAAGCAATACGTCTTTACCCGTGATAATTCCTTTTTCACTGCATAAAAAATCCCGCATCTCATACGTATGAGAAAGCACTTATTGTAAAGCGCTTCAAAAATCTTTTGTTCCGCCGCTTATTCTGTCACAAACAGCAGCAGCCTTCCCTTCCGTAAGGTAGTATTGTCAGAACAACGGTAAAAAATTGAGTACAATCAATCCAGTTACATATTCTGAGAGTAATGCGAGGAAGTAATCCGCAAGAACAGTCATGGATGAGGGGATAACTTTTT